GACGTGTATACCATTAGTCGGCGTTTCGGGAGAAATTGGCAACCTCGTGCGAGTATAACCTCCTTCTATTTTACTTTGGCGACTGTCGGCTTTTCGGGTTCTTGAAGAGAGGGAGGGGTGGAGACTTCCTCATCAGTCTCCCCATTACTTCCGGTTCTGTCGCCGCCCAATTAGGAAACTTCCGGTTCCTTGCCCATGGCTGCTCACTGTCGCGAACCGTATCACGCCGAGCCCGCGTATTTCTCGCGCCTGTCCGGCGGGTGCGCCGGTTTTTGGGACCGGAGACTTCGAGCTCGCTCGAGTGAATAGTGACGGTTCGAGAGTACCTTTTTCGAGTTTGTATTTTTCAAGAATTAAGTTGTTTTTGGCTTACTCTTTGGGCGGTCAGCTTTCCAGACTAGCGTGGGGCTATGGAAATTATTATTGGCGAGGAGATGGAACTATTCGCAACTTCCGGCGATGGTGGTACAGCGGTTTGAGAATCGCGCTCCCTATAGCTGCTAGATGATCGGCTTCAAATTAAAGGTACTTGCTTACGCCTTCCTGACGCGGAAGTATGACTGAGACTCTACTATCGCTCGTTATTTCATAAGATTATAATTACCTACACGTCACAGCTGTCCTTCGACGATCGTCCAGATGACAGCCATCAGCACGCTCTGTGTTGACAGGCATTGTTAAGCTTATATAGAAGGCTCCGATTCGTCCACTCCGGGGATATAAAAGAAGAAAATGCTAACAGAAATGAACAGAGTGAGCATGTTGTCCAGTTCTGTAGACGTGAATTAAGATACAACCTCTTAGATTCATTAAAAATATGTTTTGCATTTTTTGTTTTATTTTGAACGTAATTTCAACGAAAAAAAAAAGATGTCGTGGCGCTGCTGCCAGTTTACAGGTGGTATCATGGTGACAGTGACACACGCTGCGTGAATCGTGGAATCTCTCTCGGTTGCTGGCAGAAGCATGCGAGCGACGCCCACACCTCCCTTTCTAGCCCACCGTGCTTGCGAGCTGGATTCTTTACTTCATCTTCTTCGATCGAGCGTGGGGGGCGCGGACTGGACGAATAGGCGTTTCAGCTATTGAACACAAACCCGAGCCGAGCGCTGACGCACCGCTCGGCTACGTCAGTTTGTGCGCCGCGTCAGAAACACTAACACATTATTCGTGTTGTCGTTGTTTTTCTCGTGGGTTCTCGATGTAACCGCTAGGAGCAGAGTCGTTGGATAGAGCCTACTAAGAGAGTGTTAGAGGATTGGTGGCTACCTAAAATAGGATAAATCTGAACAAGTTTGACTTAACCATAATTTTATCCTAGGCCAAATATATTGTTTGGCTAGGTGGCGCAAGTCACCTATTCAGAGGGAACGGCCGCCACGCATCCATCCAACCATCTGTCTTCTCCAATAACCATGGACAACTTAAAAAAACAGCGGCCGGGGCAAGCCACGAATATTTCAATATCGCTCTGCAGTGAATAAACTTGAGGCGTTTTTAAGTACAAACGTCATGGAGCGAATCCTAAAACAGGTTTCCCACACTTTTTTCATTTTTCAATGACGCATATTCGTCTACTTTTTTTGCATAACACTCGAAAAAGCAAAAACCAATATAAAAAAAAGCTAGAAAAAAAGTCGCTTCGACAGGGAAAAAAATAGTCTACCATAACGTGAGCATGTAGAATGTACCGATCAGGGTCACAACGCATAATTAAATTTTCAACGGAGACATAACATATCTATATGTCCAGTAAATTTTACCACAAAATGCACACATTCACCACTGTTTTCAAAGTCCGGGGAAACTTAGCGCACCACAGACATGGGAGGCTTACGAGTGCTAAAATAAAAGAGAAAAACATATGACAAAGTATCCTTTAAATTTGGCGCAAAGCATTTTTTTTTTCGGTAAATTTACCGGGAAACGTTTTTCGTCTAGACCTAACGCTGAAAATTTCCCGCTTTTTTTTCCTAAGCATGCGGTTGCCACAAACTTGTCACGTCTCTCGAAATAACGGAACCAGAGAAATACCGTCTAGAATACAAGGCCTGCGAATGACGTCATCATTAGTGGATCCGGGACACGAACCAGGTGCCAAACACGTTGAAGCTCGGCGAGAGACACCTCAAATTGCGGCAGACGCGTCTGTCTTGGCGACACCGCGTGCCAGCGTCGCACTCGTTGCGAGACGCCATGAATGGATGGAAGGATGTATGGATAGTAATGGGCTATAACCTTCGTAACGGGCGGCAGCCTGCGCCACCTATCCTAACATGGAGGAGGCGATAGTGACAATGCTGAAGCAAGCCATACGACGCTGCAATGATCCACTATAGATGAAGTTTGCATGCGGGAGAAAAGGGGGAAAAGGGGGCGAGGGGCGAGCCTCGTCTTGTAGTTGGTATGGACCAGCGTGACTTCAGCAAGTTGTAGGTACTCTAGCTGTTAGCATGATGGGTTTTTCAAGCTCGCTTGGTGCTCGATAGCGAGACATTCTTTCGAGCGCATACGTATGCTTGTGGTCGATGGTCCGAAAAGAAGACTCGAAATAAGATGAAGCTCAAAACGGGGGATACACTTTGTTGTCTCCAACTGTACATTTATTTCACGCAAAGTGTCAGGCGCGAGGTGCATGCGAAAACGGTGAAAACTATGAGGGGAGAAAGTGAGGGAGAGGAGGCGACAAGAGCGTTCAAAGTGCGAGTAGAGACAAACTGCGCTCTCGGATGGGTGCGAGGCGTATGCAATAAGGAAGGGTGCAGATAAGTGCATAAGCGAGCCTTCAGTGACTCTGTCAGAAAAAGAGTGTCTATTCTTGGATAAAGAGTGGGCACGTGGAAAGTGACGTGGGTGTTTTTTAAAAGTGTATATAAGACTATGTTTTTCCATAAATAAATCTTCAGTTGCGAGTGCGCCTTGTGTCGTCGTCTTCTTACCTTGTCCTGGTCTTTCGGCGCTTGTCTTTTTCCATTATGAACCAACTGGCCTCTACCCAATGTTCGCTCCAATCTGAGCTCAGACTTCACGTTTCCTCCGCGCTCTCCCTCAATTGCTATCCGCATAATCCCTATCGCTACCGCGTAGTAATCATTAAAAAAAATGGTAAAACACCAATTTAGATAACTGTTAACAGTGAATTTTAGTATTGCTTCTAGGAGCGAACGCGAGCACTGTGTGTTTGTGTTAGTGTTGCGTGTTCTACACCGCGCGTGTGCGGAGCCCAAACTGCGCTCTCGGATGGGTGCGGGGCGAAGAACCGCATGTGCAGCGTGCAGAACGCAACGTTAACGTGATAGAACAGCGCTCGCGTTTGCTTCAATGTACGCAATACTAAAAACTTTCTAATTTCCTTCAATTCATTACTGGCCATCTGTTGTTGAGCGATACCAGACAAGAGAGCAAATAGGAAAAGCACGATGAGTTGATTTTTGTAAAAAATAACCAAAAAGCTCGCTCTAAAAAAATAAAAAAAGGAATGTGTGTTTACTTTTTTTTTTTTTTTTTGCAGAACACGGTCCCAGCCAAACACGGCGAACAACGAATAGAGAATCTCGGTATTCGTTTCGACCAAAGACATGCAATGTGCACAGGGACCATATGGCGTGACGTTTTACTCGCATATTATTTCCGCTCACATCGTCTACTTCGGACCTAATCATATTCCGAGTTTCTTCATTCGCTTAGATCCTTCGACTATTCGCTGCGATTGCCTGTCTTCGTGTTGTGTAGAACAGGAAACCCACAGGATTTTTGTTTTCTAAGCGTGTGGTACAGCAGCCATGGTACGTGGAGCGCGTCCCTGACTGGTGCGTTTAACGGCGTCGTGAAACGTACTTTCGCTCGATGACGAAAATATCATACCTGCCGCAATCCCAGCGGTGGTAGAGCAGCGGAAGTGGCTACGGCACCCTCCCGTTCTGCTGTAGGCAACGTTACTAGAACCACTCAGTTGGGAAACTGCCATAGAGCCTGCTTTGGAAAAGTGGCTTTGATCCGTACTCGAGAACCGAGCTAATGGCGATCGCAACGCCGCCATTTCTCCCGCAGCGTCCATTCCGAGAACTTCACGGCTGCACGTATGGTTCTAGTCGAGTCGGGCAAGGGCCAGTGGCGCCATCTCGCAGGGCCATCTCGCAGTAGCTACATAAAGCAACTTTCATGTTTCAACTCGTCGCTAATGAGTGGCGCTCTTATCGTATTTAGCTCGGTCTCGGTGGACGCCAGAGGTCCAGGTTTCAAGGGTGAGTTTACCAACTGAGTGTTTTAGTAACGTTGGCTGTAGGTCTCCCTGCGGCTAGGTAGTCGATAGAATCCAAAGCAGACAGCAGATGGGACGCCTCGGCGTCAGCGATCCCCTTGCGCCCGCTCGCCTTTTTAAAGCGACTAGCTTTCTCGTGATCTTCGGGCCACTTTGAGGTGTGCTTCTGGCCGTTTGTTTTCCCAGCTGTATCGAACGGGAAAAATGACGTCACATGACTTGATGTCACGTGACCTGCAGACAAATTCTGTTTCCCCGCTAGATTTATGGGGAAAATGAACGTCCCATGCATTTCAACACCAACTCAGTTTTCCCGCTAAATTTAGCGGGAAGAATGATGTCAAATGACTTGAAGTCACGTGCCCTAAACACTAATTCAGTTTTGACCCTAAATTTAACGGGAAAAATGACGTCACTTCACACAAATTCAGTTTATCCGCTAGGATTAGCGGGAAGGTTGACAATGACCCTTGGCGGCTCTTTCAATTACGTCTGCAGCTGATCGCTTAATTAAACAGCGACATCGTTGGTCCTGCCCGAATTTTTCGCCAGCATTTTTATGACCATTCGCCGGGAATGCGTCACCCGACAGCGTGACAGGCCGCCTCAAGGCATCGGCTCCTGTGACGTCATTCGTTGCTATACTTGAGGACAATTTTCGACGCAGAGGCGGGGCGCTAAACTCGCCAGTCAAAGACGTGTTCCAGGCACCCGAGTACTGCTCGCCAAGCCCCAAAAATCACATATCCCAGCCTCCGGCCACCTCAACCGCGGCGCCGGTCATGTAAGAACTTTGGGGCGAGCAGAGAAAAGCGACCACGTCAGCAACCTCACGGGGCTGGGCCTTGCGACCGAGCGGAACGCTGGCCAAAATTCTCCGCCACGCCTCCTCCGTGAAGAAGCCTCTTCTGTCTGGGTTGTGGGTGGCTCCGGGAAGCACGGCGTTGCACCGAATTCCCCTGTCGGCGAGTTCGGCGGCCACCGCTTTGGTGAGGCCGACGATGGCGGCCTTGGAAGCCACGTAGCTGCAGAGTCCGCCGCACGTCTTGGCGACTATGCTGGAGATGTTGACCACTGCTCCGTCCGTCACCCCTCCGGCCAGCATGTCGCGAGTGGCAGCTTGGGTCATCAGGAAGGTGCCCTGGTTTATATGCCAAGCATGAAAAGAAACACTAAAGGTTGGTTCACGCTTTTGCCGTCGACTACGACCGCCTTCGACACAACCGGTCTATAGGCCGCTTACAACCGCCATCGCTGCTGCGCGGCCCGAGGTAAGCAGTCACAAGCGGCTTAAAACCACGTTCCATCGGAGTCGGTTGTAGTCGGTTATAAAAATGTGAATCAGCGCTAACCCCTCGCCTCCCACTCCCCAACTGCCCCCCTCCCCCATTCCACCACTTTCACTAAAAAAGAAAAAAGAAAGTGAAGTGCTTGTAATACGTTTTCAAGTACGGCCCCTGGGGGCCGCCATCTTGAGACTTGCATGTGTGGATCGTGATCGTCAAGCCTTTCTAAGGCGTGCCCAGGGTTGCCAGACTGGCGCCTAAAACAAGTAATTTCTTATGCACGGTGGCCAGACTAACTCATGTAGCGTGGCCGCTTGCAAACGTCCTATACTTCGTTTCACCTTAAAGGTGCCCTGAGGAGTTTTACGAGATCGCCTAAATATAACGACAATTCACTCTGCTTGCTCTAAGCATCCTAGAAATCCCTAAATAAACACGATGCGCGACCGAATTCCCTATTAAAAAAGCAATCAAATATCTCAAGGCACCGATGTCATCTCCAGCGATGAGAAGAGCATGTTCCGAAACGAAGACCACTGTCAGCCAATGCGCCTCGCAAGTGGGCTCATTTTCGTCTTCTGCGCATGAGAAAGGAAGTAGTGGTGACGTCAGAACGCTGAGTCCTGATTGGCTGATCGCGACCCCCTATTGAGCGTCGTCTGCTCCTTTGCAACGTCGTCTGCTCGCAACATCGTCTGCGTCTGTCTTACCTTTCCTGTGACTTTCGGAGCGAACTCGACTTCGCCTTTAAGAGAGGGCAGACGAAATAACTCGAGCGGTACGTTGTTTTCGTCTAACAACTAGCAGACGCGCATCAAGGAGGGAAGACAGAGGACTCACTGGCGGGGTGTCCCGGGGCGCCGAGGTTTGTTTGCTTAGAACCGAGAGTGAGCGTGTTAGTGTCCGCAAGTTCCCTCCCGAACACTTTTTCCCTCCATTCATGTGCGGCGAGACCCTTCACTCTTTAACGGCGCCGGCGGGTTGGCGCAGTTAACGTCGTCTGCTTTACGTCTGCTAGTCAAAGCGATGACTGCTTTACCTTTCCTGCGTCTGTCGGAGATTCACCGCTTTTTAACCGGCGAGAGTCCCCGTTGCCTAGGTAAACAAGGAAATAACAAGAGGAAGAAATTGACCTCTTAATCTAAAATTGAGGTCAGCGATCAAAGTATAACACGGGAAGGGTTCACAAGGGTCGCGCGGGCATATTCCATTCAGCACGTCAGCCGGTCGTGGGCAGACGGTCGCCGAGTCGCGGAGTGCCTGCTAGGCCTAACTGCCCGGCTCGTTTGGTCGCGTTCGGTGAAATCGTGGCCGTTGGAGCTTTTCACCGGTGTCTGTGGATCCAGCTTTCTTGTTCGTCGTGCTCTGTTTCAAGTAATTTTTACTTTTTTTCTTGCTGCTTGAAGTCAGGACGCGTGAGAAGCTCACGTAGAAAAATAAACGTCCGTGGGTCGTCGCGACCGCGACGCTGTCGGCCATGCTGAGTTGATCGTAAGAAGTGCGTAAGACAGCTTCGGAGCTGTTGTAGGATTTCGCCGTAACCTGCGCAAAACTTACGAAAATTTCGTTTCGTGAATACGAATTTGTTCTTAAGTTTTGTCTTACGCACATTTTTGGCGTAATATCGTTTCGTGAATCTGGCCTCTGCACCTACGAAAGTCGCAGAAAACGTAAGACAGACGCAGACGACGTTGCGAGCAGACGACGTTGCAAAGAAGCAGACGACGCTCAGATAGGGGGGCGCGATCAGCCAATCAGGGCTCGGCGTTCTGACGTCACCGCTACCCCCTGCGCAAGGAGCAGACGAACTTGCCCTCCGCATAGCAATCGAAGGACGCTCGCGCCTTCGACTGGTGGAACCGCGGAGTAGAGCACTGCACGTGCCCGGGCCAGCCCGAAAGCCCGAGCCCGGCCCGGCTTGCGGGCCGTGCTCGAGCCGGGTAGCACGCATTTGTTCGGGCCCGGGCCGGACTCGGGCTTGAACAAACAATTTTTCGTACCGTGCCTGGGTTGTCGTGCGTCGCAAATTCTAAATTGTTGATGACAAAAAGTGCGCACATTCATATTTTAAGTTAAATGAAAAAAAAATAAAAAAATAAGCGAAGTGCAAAATCACCCTGACGCCGCTAAAAAAAAAAAAAAAAAGATATCAAAAAGAAATTTTGTACTTTGAAAGCCTTCAAGAGGATAAAAGAAAACGCATGGACTACACCATCACAGTGGAAGAGTGCGGGGAAGTAAACGAGGGCACTCCGGCCGTCGCAGAGTACAACATGAGTGTCATTTTCCACCGCTTTTGAAACTGAAGAAAAAAAAAAGAAGGAAAAGACGTGGCCTAGATATTGCATTTTGTACAGGGGCCATACTACGCCACCAAAGGTAAGCTAAAGTACCCTAGATAATTTTATATTTATGAAGCCGTTTGAAGGTGTACAAGCAGAATTGTGATTGGTTTTCTTTTTCTTTCCTTTCGAATCTTTTTTCCGGGATTTCCCGATTTTTTCTACGCTGTGACCTTGTTTCGCAGAATGGTAGAACTAATATTTTTTTGTTTGTTGATTTCTTCATCCAGGTTCGAAATAACCAATAGACTCAACCTATGCCCTGTTCAAAAGAATCGACCTATGTCCTGTCCATGTTACCAACCGTCCAATAAGAAATAGAGGCCTCAGGAGCCCATCTTTCCAGCGAAACTTTTATTTTATTACTTTTTATGCAGCCACTCGCTGTCCCGCGGTGGCTGCAATGGAAGGTGATGCGCTAACGTTGACGGTCGGCGAGCTTAAGCATGGCCTCACTTGCGGACACTACAAACTTGTTGAGAAAACAGACTCCCAGAGCTCTGTGCGGAAAAAAAAAAAACTTTTCTCACAGTCGTGGACGCCAGAACGTCGATGCCGAAGTGACTTGCGCAGTGTCTTTCGTGCAAATCCTTCTTTGTCTACGATTTTTCGAAGACCGTCCCGGTCTTCGAAAAATCTTAGATATTGTAGTCTCATCTCAGTCGTTACAGGTGAAATGTCTCATTGGACAGAGCCCGCTTCGAAAAGAAGGTGCCTGAGTTTGTTTTGAGGCTGGTGTGGCACGGAGGATGACAAGGTAGCTACCGATGAATCGGAGGAGTATCTGCACGGCAAGAGGGACTACTCGTGCTCGCTCGTGTCTGAGCTTTCGTGACTTCTGGCGAACGCACCAGAAGGAATTGCCGAAACTATTCCTTCTATCCAAACGCACCCTGTGCTTTCCTGCTACAGGCGATAACAGCGAACGGAACTCCAGCTCGGCAAACTACGACATGCAAGAAAGACGGATCTGCATGAAGAAAGAGTCCACGTACAATTTACTTTTTCTTCACAAAAACACATAGGAATGGAAGTTCTTTGTGAAACGAATTAAACAATGAAGAGGGAAATATATGTTTAAAAAATGCAAAAATAAAAAATTCCCTGCTTTTTTTATGATCAATCAAAAAATTGGTTTACGTTTAGTAGAAGTTTAAATTAAGTATGCTCGCTTTAGGCTTAGTCAGTTTTTAGTTCAAAGCCTGCAAACGATGCGTCAAAATATTTTCTAGATTAGCGTTTTTTCTTCTTAAAGAACAGTGTACTCGATGCACCTTAACGACCTTTTCCGTCAGTAACTAGTGATTACAAAAATAAAAAGGACAAATAGCGCAGTCTTCAGCGACATTGCTCCTTAAACCATGGCTTCAATAGTCTGTACCTCCTTTGGTCTCATATTATACCGTATCATCGGGGATCCTGGTTGATATAGTTTTTCAACATGCCCTTCATACCGTGTCTCTTTTGTCTTCCAGTCATGCTGGGTATAAAATGTAGAGGTGTGCGCACAATGCTTTGAATTTAATAGCACTGGGTTGCTCATAATTTTCACAGCGGAAAAAAAAGCAACGATAGCCGTTTTTTTTTCTTTTTGCACATTGGTGATTCTTTCTTTTTTTTTTTGTGTGTGCCGTTTGTTTCATATATAACCCTTTTTTCTTTTTTACGCTGTCTCTAACTATAGATAACGTTTTCGTTGTCTTTCTGTTATGGTGGATCAACTCTTTCCATGGAAAAACACTCCCTTCAATAATACCTTACGGTGAAGCAGCTTTCTTTATATTTCTTTATTGACTAATATAATAATAATAATAAATAATAATACGTAAATAAATAAATGCATCGAGAATGAATGATTGAATGAATGAATAAATAAATAAATTAAAGACGTCTACAACACCCTGTAACGCCGAATTCGAGCGCAGCTCTTGAGGACGAGGAGGGAAGGGTACTGAGGGGAGGGTACACCCACCCACCCTCCTCACGTCCTCCATCCTCCCTGATACTCCTCCTTCCCTCATCCCTCAAGCTTCTCCCCTCCTCTCCTCCTCCTCCCTCCTCCCCCTCCCTCCTCTACTCCTCCCCTCCCTCCTCCTCCCATCCTCCTCCTCCCCTCCCGCTCGTCCTCCCCGCGCGCTGCATTATGGGAAATGTCCCATAATGCACCGCGCGGGACCCTCGTGACGTCACGAGGGTCCCGCGCGGTGCATTATGGGACATTTCCCATAATGCATCGCGCGGTTACGCCGACGGCGACGCCGCTCAAGCCGGAGACGGGCGCCTAAGAGCTGCGCTCTAAAAATGAATAGTTGGTTAGTTTTCAGCCTACCTTGAGGTTGATGCTGAGGACTCGATCGAAGGCATCTTCGTTTGTGTCAACAATCGAAGTGTAGGAGAGAAGGATGCCAGCGCAGTTCACCAGAATGCTAGTAGGCTTACCGCAGACTTCACTGATTGCCGCAAAGAGGGCCTGTACCGACGATGAGTCAGCAATGTCAACGTGCATCCCAACGTGTTTTTGGTCATCGCTCGCACCTGAAAATACATACGTAAATTGGTGTATTCAAAAAATCACGAAGCTGAATGCACCGACGGCAGAAGAAGCGGTTGACTTTCCTTTAGGCCATAAATTTTCCGGTGTTCATGAATAAAGGCTAAAGGTAAATGTTTTTCGGTGGTCATTCATTTATTTTTAAGGTATGCGTGTGTTTTGGTGAACTACCTCAGACGGACGCTAAACATGGTGATTATTGGTGAAAAAATCTAATGAAAAAATAAGAATTATTTTGTAGGAAGAAATAATTTCGAAAGAAAAATCACTGGAGAAGAAAAAAATCCAAGAAAACAAAATGTTCGGTTCGAACCGAATTCGTAGAATTCACACTGACGGAGGTTTATCGGTGTTTTCAAAGTTTAGCCGACTTTTTATTTTTAACGCCGGAGGATGCTTATTGATGTTTTTCTTTTGTTTTTTGTTTAAAACTGGAAGGTTTACGGTTTACTTATGATGGTCAGGATTTTGCTGTTTTGTGGTTCGTTCTTCGACGTTCTGATCGGTAAATGCAGCAGTCCAATTGGCTGCGAAGCAATATTAAGATGCTATGTATTCGCCAAGCCCGGCGTTTCTTAATTTCTCGGCAACTGTATACCACTTTAAAAAAAAAAAAAAATCCGTTCTTGAAAGCTTCCTCGACGCCCCAAGAACTCTTTCAGCTCGTTAAGAACGGTTTCGCTTCAATCACTATGGGGCCACACTTGAAAGACGACTGGGAGATGAAAAAATCTTTCGCATCAAGAGAAAGGAGCTTGAAAGAACCACCTATAGGTTTGCCACAAAAAAAAAAAAAAAGCTTTTAAGAAATGCTTAAATTAACTTTTTTTTTGTGCAAAATATAGACACGCCGAGTAACCTTTAAAAGATTTTTTACGACCAGATTTTTTTTTAGAGCATAGAAGAAGGGAATACCGGCACAACAAACTGCTGTGTATGCCGACATTTCCGCATGAGAGAAATACCTGCTTGCCAGATGCTTTGGCTCCCCCCAACCATAGGTCTGTTTTGATATACTTCGGTTTACCTCGGTTGTGGCACCATTTGCTACTATATATATATATATATATATATATATATATATATATATATATAAGGGGAATGAGTGAAGATTGACAAGTGCAGCCGTAGTAATATTGTGAACGAACAGGGGAGAAGGTGAATATTGAATTTATTGCATTAAAGTTACGGAAAGGGAAAGGGAAAGAGATCTGGCGAAAAATTGGGCCGGGAGCGGGGATTGAACCCGCAACTTCCTGGCTCATATATATATTCATATAAACTCGAGCGGATAATTATCACGTTAGATTTAATTATAATATGCTACACCTCCGACCCTTCAAGTCCCCTTATACGCACGTACCATGCCCGAAACATCGGTAGCACTTTCAAACGCTATTCACACTTGACATGATTGTTCGAGGCAATTTTTGAAGCGAATAGAATTATAGGAAGCAAATATTTTTCACCAAGTAAGGATCCCTTCTTTTTACTTGGACAGAAAGTCAGTAACCTAATTTCCACGCTCTGAGAAATCAGGATGATCCACGTTCCCGTAAAACATTTAGAAGGGCCAATCGCTGCGACCTGCAGGAGGCGCTCGGGCAGTGACTAGGCGAAAAATATGGCACCAAAAAAAGTTGCGTTTTCTGTGAGATTCAGCACAGTGAAACAGAGTGCTTGCGGTAACGTGTTACACGTAACGGCGTTACCGGTAACGCGTTTTTTTCGTTAGATGAGTAGTTGACTCGTTACTTTTAGAAAACAGCAGCGGATAAAGTACTACCGCGTTCGATGAAATGCGAATTCGGTTGTGCTGGGCGAGGTTGAAACACATCGGAGTAGAACGCAGGCCGTCGCAGAGCCCTACCCTCCACCCCGCAGATATTTATCCGGTTTCGGATGCCTCCATGAGGCGCAACATGTGTCAACGGCAACGCGTTCCGATGTTCGCATTTCATTCGAACCCGTTAGCACTTATACGTAACTTATACGTAGTAACGGGTAACGCAGTTTCGTTACTTTTTACATCTTCCCAAAACACACACAAACAATTGCATTACTATATTTTTTTTGTATGCGCCAAGTTATATCTAATATGGCGTTTTTTGCATTTTTTTCCGTGTGCTTTCTTCTTAGTATTCAGATGGAACTGCTAAAAAAATAAAAAAAAGGTAATTATACTAAATTTTGATTGGATGATAATTTTTATTTTTATTTTTTTAGTATGGCGCTCACGAGTGTTCATAAAGTCCTAATAGTATAGACATTTTAATTTATAATCGAAGAGTAAAGCATTAGTAACGCGTGTTAATTCGTGTTCGTAACGGTAACGCGTTCCTTTTCTTTTGAGGTAACGTTGGTCGGTACCGCGTTTCTTTTATTAGCAGGCAACGAGTGACTCATTTTGTTACTTTTTTTTCGCTAACGCCAAAAACACTGCATGTAATCCTCATTGCGATCACTGCGCAGACCGTTTATTTAGGTATAGTTTCAGCCTCGTCGTCTGCCGAGCTCTCTCAGTAGTTTATAGGGATATTAGCTTTCCAAGGTGCTGTGCGGGGAAAGCAGACGCTTCGGATATTCTAAGCAGCTGTCGCACTGCTAATTGTACTTCATACAAGAAAAAAAAAGTCTGCAGAAACGTTTGGAGCGTACTACATATGTATGGGGCAAACCTGCTTCGAACATTCTTGACGCGTGTGTGGAGATCATCGTGTCATCGTATTTGCAGCGAACACCGCGCGTCTTCCGTACGATGTATGTAGCCGGGGTCACATGGCTCATACATCACATAATGTCGAGACCGGTTATAACGAAGTCGGTTATATCGAAATAGCGGCTACAGCGAAGCGATCACGATTTTACATTTTCTTTTGCACTTTGTTATAACCCAAGTCGGTTAGAACGAAATAGCAGATATAGCGAAGTCCTTTCTGACTCCCATTGACTTCGTTATAACCGAAGTCGGTTATAACGAAATGGCGGCTATTTCGAAGTGATCACGATTTTTCATTACCTTTTGCACTTCGTTATAACCGAAGCCGGTTAGAACCAAATAGCGGATATAGCGAAGTCCATCCCGACTCCCGTTGACTTCGTTATAACCGAAGTCGGTTATAGGAAATGGCGGCTACATCAAAGCGATCACGATCTCCCATTCCCTTTTGCACTTCGTTATAACCGAAATGGGTTAGAACGAAATCGCAGATATAGCGAAGTGATTTCCGATTCTCGTTGACTTCGTTATAACCGAAATGGGTTAGAACGAAATCGCAGATATAGCGAGTGATTTCCGATTCTCGTTGACTTCGTTATAACCGGTCTCGACAGTAGTATACAAAAGACCGTCTGCAAACACGAGTAGACGCAATATATGAGGTTCGAAGGCCGCGCGTGCCGAGTTTTCTCCTCGAACTAGTTGCCGTGCGGCATTCGATCGAAGCACAGATCTTCGCGGTGACTCGCGTTCGAAATCTGTTTTTGCAGACTGCTCTTTTGTGTGATGCGTACGAGCAGTACTGGGACCCCCCGGCCTTATAGAGTGCCTTTCTGAACCCGGCGAACGCGAGTAGAAACGACAAACCTGTTAGAGCGTTCGCCACGGCCTCGGCCGCTGCCAGATTGATGTCGGCGACGATCAGTCGCGCGCCTTTCTCGGCTAAAGCACCGCATATCGCCTTGCCGATGCCCGCTCCGCCTCCGGTCACCACCGCCAAGCGTCCGCGCAACGGACGTTCCTGGGACCCGGTACTAGCCATCCGTGCTTTGATGATGATGTTCCTCGTCGGGACCCGTTGGAACGTTCTGCTAGGCGGTCACGGTGTTCTGTTATCGTTAGCAACTGGAGCGTCGACGCTGGGAACACATGCGCGATGAAAACGGGCTGTGACGTGGCGGTACGCTGCAGCACCGCAACGCCACATACGCCAGCGACGGGTTCCTATGGTAACCGTCTACCGATACCCGCCTTCATCGGGTCTGGAGTCGGAAAATATTCAGTGCGCCTACTTTCTCGCAAAGCTCTTGAGAGTACGAGAAAGTACAAGGTGTTCGGTCCGCTAGCGCTACATGGCGGAGTAGGAACGTTCGGCGATGCGCAGTGTAAGTTTGCAGAAGAAAAAAGAACCCTTTAAATTGGGGAAAAAAAAAAGAGGGCGGGGGACACTCTGTAGGTAATCCAGATTTTTTAAATACTACGTTTTTCAGTTCGAGCAACCAATAAGAAGGGCCAGAGATTGTGGTTCGAGGCGGTACAATGTATAAGTAACGACTTATGTGACTGACAGCTTAAGAGACGGCTCATGCCGTAGCCCGGTCGGCTCCAAGAGATGATAAGATGCCTAAGATGTGCGACGCCTCGCGTGTCTTAAGTTTTCGGTGATTCTAACCAACCGCAAAGACCAGGCTTGGTTTGATTCACCTACATCGCCTGCATCAGTTTGTACTCGATGTATACTCCACCTGCACCAAGTTACGAGCGCAGCCTATTCCAAATGACACACACCGAGAGTGCACCGCCCTGTATTTGTTGCACTGTATAAAACAGCTGTTGAGCACTTGTAGGCCTGCGCAGGTAGGTGGAATGAGCTCACTGATGGCAAACAGAAGACTACGTACAACGTTTTCAGAGAAAAAAAAGAAAGGAAAAAAGAACGCTGAAGCTATGATGGCGGCATTAGACAGCTTCCTTCGCACGAAGAAAAGACTTCGAAAGCGTATAGAACCGAAAGCGGGGAATGTTGCTTTGTCCTCGCTTTCGTCGTTATTCGATTCGGGAGATCGAGGGTGTTTTATTTCGGAGATTTCAGTGTTCCCTTGTCACCGGCATTAAAGAGCGAAAATATCGGTGAGATTTTGAAACGACTATTACGGGGCCCTGAGGTTTGGAGAGGGACTATTCAATCTCGTAACTTGTTATGGCCGGAGTTTCAAGCTAATCAAACTCATTGTACACCAGTTAGTTTTATTAGTCAAAATTCTCAAAATAAAAATTACCGCGTTCAAATAAAAGAATTGAAAGTTTGTTTGTTTTTCCTGCCCGTAGAAATTGGGGGTTGTGTGGTATGTTTATACAGCCTAGAACTTGGTCTGCCTCACAGGGGCGACGAGTCTCCCAGCTGTAGATGAGCAATTTAGCCAGTGCAGTACAACCGCTAGCCTGGGGTCTTTAACGTGCACCACGCAGTAGTGATACACGACCGCACGCCGCTACGATGCTCATCCAGATCGAAACGGGCAGGGGCGGGGATTGAACCCAGGATCCCTGGGTTCTGCAGAGCGAGCCTGCCCGTAGAAACAAACTATACGCATCGCAGAAGGCTAAAACTCCCTTAATTAGAAGCTGCAGCTTTTAACATTCGCCAAGTTACGCTGAAACGGAGTTTGAACGAAAATCTAACGTAAGTTTTACTAAGTACCCTAATAACCTGAACCCACACTGCGAGGTCGCAAAATCTAGCACATTTGGCACGCAAAATGCGAAATCTAATGGCACACACCTGAAACTGGGCACGCGAACGCCGTTAAGAAAAGAACAAGTTTTATGTCTATTATTTTAAAGCTTAACTCGGAGGTGTTTAAATATTAAAAAATATAGCGCAAAAAGGGCGGCTGAGTATCTCCTATGCCCTATACCGAATGTTCGTCATCTGGACGCTGGTTTGCGAGCTTTGGTCCCAGTTGTTCGTCGTCCATATATTTTGATAACATTATTACTTATCCAGATTATCCCACTCGTCGCCAGACTCTACGGCGTTCTCAGCGTTTGATGCGTTCAACAAGACCCCCTCGAGCGGGCTCGCAAACCAGCGAACGAACGGAGAACAGGTGGGACATATCAAAGTTACACGGCCGTCCTTTTCCCTTTATTTTTAATATTTTGAGCTCCCCCGGCCGAACGCCGACCGGAGCAGCGAAAATCCCGCATGCGGCGCGTCGAGCGTTGCCGCGTTCTGGGAGCCGGGCTATCGGGGCCAAACCATTCCGCTGTCAAAGGGGTGGACGAAGGAACTTTACTAGACGCTTTACACACGCGCCAAATTACAGCCGCCATTGCTGACCTTCTCTTGTCTTACCGAAATGCCGAGCAATTAACTGAAACGGTAGTTGACGATCCTCTACAAAGGCCGACGCCTTAGAAAAAGACACAGTTGAATCTACTATGGCAATAACCTGGCCTGCTATGGTAATGATGAAGTGAAATGAACGAAATAAGAGGAAACAAAAACTGAAGGTCAGTTATGGCGGCGTCAGTGCACAGCTGCTACAAAGCGTCTATAGCATTCCGCGTTTTGGAACGTGAATCTGAAGCACGGCCGATTAGGATCCCGCTTCCGGTTGTAGGTAAACGCAGACGGCTTATCGAAGTTCTTCACTGCATAATATCTCTGACATGTTATATGCTAGTTTTTTTTTATTTGCGAAACCGGTTTGTCATTTTGAATGGTTCCTACCCGAAAAGTAGTCGCCACAAGCCCCCCTTTCTTACAATCTTTCTTAAACCTAGAGCCCTCAACTCGTCAGACACAAAGTTGCAGCCGAAAGTTCGCGGAGCGCGCCGATTGGACGTCGACGAGAAAAACGCCAAGTCATCGTCGTGATTGTCCAATCGGCGCACTCCGTCAACTTCCGCTCCAACTTTGTGTTTGACGAGTTTAGGGCCCCTGGACTAGACAATGACAAGCTATTTTGAAATAATTTATTTAATCTATAAGGATATACTATAGATAACGAAAAATGATTTGTGTCAAAACAGAATAAAGATTCAGGCACTTTTCATGCACGCGTTTTATCGAGGAGATTCTATTGTACTGCGCTCAGCAGCGTTTTGCTTCGCCAAGGGTGACCCTCTCCACGATGACTTGCAGATGGCTTCCGGGTCGGCCACTTCTCGCTTGCCGAGGGATCATTGTTGTCATGCCTAATATCATATCAAACATAGGGTTTTTACATTTGTAAGCATCGATGGAGCACTGCTGCTTTTTCTACGCCTTAAGCAAGCTCCAGTTAATTTATCAGCAGTTATAACATCATCTCCGAAAACTTGGGGCCTACACCCGAAGGCGGCAATTCTAATCGGCCATGTTCTTGTGATTCACACTTCGAAAGGCTGGAATCCCGATAAAAGCTATGCGTTCACCCCTTTGATAACGGAATGGTTTGGTACCAATAGCCCGGCTCCTAAGACGCGGCAACGCTCGACGCGCCGCGTGCGGGATTTTCGCTGATCCGGTCGGCGTTCGGCTGGGGGAGCTCATATGGCCGGCGACTGTACGTTTGGAATTCGAATTTTGCGAAGCGTGGCAAAAGTGCTGGTCCATGCGGCCTCATGCTCGTAGATTTCCGACGTTATCGACAACGTTTTTTTTCCCCATGTATTTCAAGGAAACGCGAAAAGCGGAATACTGACACACACACGGATATTTCATCAATATCGTCACTGAAATATCTTAAAGAACGCTGGGCGTCGTGTGTCCCGATAGGGGCCAATGAGACGGAGGCATGCACCGATAAGAACGACGATAAACGAATTGCAAGGCAAAAAGCAACGAACTTTAGCATAACGAGAAACACTAAAACATCGCTGGTAGTCAGCTGTGTGTCCTATTCTGTCCTTTCTTTCTTCGTGTTCTTGTTTAATTCTAAAGTTCAAGCTGATATATTTACAAATATGAGAAACACCACGGGCTTTTAAGCTCGTTGGGACTACACTTCGTAGTTCAGAGTTTACTTCCAGCGTAAAAGGACTAGAAAGACAATTTGACGTGTCCGGGGAGTTCATTACAAGGTGACGGTAAAAACCAACAACTAAATGCATTGTTTCCGAACGCAACAAGCGTGCCTGATTACCTTTCGTTTTTGTTATTTTACAAACTTAGTTCTTTTCTTTTGAATTTTCGCGAAGCTGTAACTCAAAGGCGTGAGTTTGTTTTGTCGTCCGTTCTTTAGTTCGAACGAACGACACTAATCTCGAATTTATGTTCAATGGGAGCTTTCTTCGGTTGCTCGCACGGTACCTCCTAAACCGCTGACACCTGGGTTAGGTTAGTCATTTTATTTATTTATTATGATTTTTTTTTTATCCCGGGCCTGCTAGGCGGCGAGGGATTCAAAGTAAGCCAAGCCGCGTTGACCACACACCCGCGCCTTCGTTGTTCGCACATGTCGGCACTGTCACGCGAAGAAAAATGCGTCGTCCGGCGGGTGGTCAAGCCTCGACAATACCTGTTCAGACCCAGTTCAGAGCCGCGGGATACCGGACCGCGGGGTGCTCAGTGTACGGCACCAATGGACCGCAGTACCGCCCTATTTTTTTTTTCACCCGTGTCCACTTTTCCGGCCGCCATGGGTCTTTTATTATGTTGCGTTACTTCAACTCTTAGTTTTGTTAGTAATATACGGTATGTTGTAGTTGTAGCCTCAGACCACAGGAAAAAATTGACGTTGGTCAAACACGCAAAAAAAAAACAAAAAAACCTCCATCTTCCCCGGCTTTGTTACATTGAAGGTGCAAGAAAAGTAGAAAAAAAAAAAAAAAAAAACCTATTTGGTACAAAAAGTTAGGTAGCTCCCGTTTTCCCGGGAGCTTTTTTTTTTTAACTCCCGAATTTTCCCTAATACGCCGATGGGGGTCGGAATATGTTAGGAACGTGTTGTGTGTTTTCAGGTCTGTCCCTTTTCACGTCTATTTGGATCCCCTTAAAAGAAATTACCTTCCCAACTTTTGTGTATAACTTTACGTTTCAATCTAACTTTTTAG